ATGAGCGTACAACTCCCATACCATTCGTCCTCGTCATCCTTCCCTCCAAGGTCACTAATGGGCGGCTCATTGCCTACAAATAACCAGCCGAACAACGCTCCTTAGACGCTAGAGAAATCAACCAGAACTCCTGTCGAGGCAATTCCAGTGAGCCCTTCACCAGTGAAGCTCCATACGTTGATGAGAATAAGGAAGTTGTGATGAATTTTCGGGAGATTATCGTCGATTCCTGTTGAAGTCTACCCTAAGTCAAACTGATTGAACCAAACGTCCCCTCCTCACACCTTGAAGACGGCCCTGATAACGAGAGTCCCAATAGGACTTCTCCGTGTAACCACGCCATGGCCTTTTGAGGGGATACCGTATCACCACGGGCTGGGCTTGTTGTTGCTGCTGCTGCCCGTCTGGGTCGGGGACGTAAGGCGTAACTTAGATGATGATTATCATCGTACATGACTTTTGGAGCTCTATCTCGCTCTGAGTCAGATAAATTCCTCTGGACAGCGGGGCAGTTATGCCACCGCCTCAAAGATCCTCAGAGGGTGGCGGGGCCGCTATGCCGTCGCCTCAAGATATGCCACAGAGGGTATCGGGGCAGCTATGCCACCGTCTCAAGATATGCCTCAGATGAATTTCTCCTGACAGCGGGGCAGCTATGCCACCGCCTCAAGATATGCCTCAGTTTCCCCTGACGGCGGGGCAGCTATGCCACCTCCTCAAGATATCAAATCGCAGCCACTAGAAGATATTGGCCACCTAGCTCACCACGAGAATTAACGAAGCGGTCAAGTTCACTCTCAGCGATGTCTTGGTCGGCTGATTGTTCATCGATGGTCATTTCAACAGTAAGGACCTCAACACTGCAGCCAAGGTCTCAGCCGTGTTGGGCGACGCTGAATAGACTTGTTGTATGATAGGATGGTCGCGATTCGCACCTCGTTAAGTGGAGGTAAAATGTCTCGTGTACTGCAGATGAACCACTCCTCTATCTCATCACAAGCTGTGATTTACATCGTCGTTCAAACACAAACCTGCAGCAGGTTGGAAGCAGCTTCCCGCCACTGGAAACCCCGTCTCTATCACATCATGGAAATCGACCGTAGACACGTTTCAAGACGCTAGAAGGGCGAGTTGTTGACGTCGCTTTGCTACGGACAAAAGGCGAGCGGTATACTTGGGAATAAGACAGGCACCACGGTCTCTCGTCATCATAAGGCAGCGCTTCAACTTGATGCCACCAATAAGCCGGCAAGAAACTAAAACAAGTGTCATAAAAACTATGTGAGTAGCCCGGGAGCCTACAACGTATCGCCAGGGTTCAATTCAACGTCGCAACCATCATCGATGTCAAACCGGCTGTAGTTCCAAACGACTTCTCTTGAAATCTCCCCTCGAGTGAACTTCAAACCAGATAGACTACTCCCATCCCAATCATAGTATGACTTCAACAGAGGGGTACTGTCTTGGGGAACGAGGAAATCGAACTTTTCCGGGGGTAGAATCTTGAACTTTTTCCGTCCTTCTACTTGGCAGAAAAGCGTATCAACAGCATCATAATGCAGCCGACTAACAGTCGAAGAAGGGCCAAGCCAAATGTGTCTCTCCAACGGGCCGTCAAGCATAGCGTCTATTCTCCCCAGATCGCAGCGACGGCCTATGTAGTCAGCCAGGAATTTCCAAGACTTAGAACCATTGCCAGCGCCGTCAGCATAAAAGTGATCGATGTTAGCAATAAAGTCAGAAAGGGAAATCCTCACTCTTCGTCCCGAAACAGCAAGTACGACGGCATCGGTTTCCACTGGGCCGGCAACCCAATCTCGCATCTGTTCCAACCATTTGTCAGTTTTGTTCGCTTGAAGTGGAGCGACCGAAACCGTCTTGTTGCCTACTGAGTGAATCGCTGAGACGACTACTATACACGTCAATACATACTTGCTTCGAGTTGAAGTATCGCAAGAAGATCGATATGAGGCATCCGAAGACCCTTGACGATAACAGGCGTGCTAGTCGCTGCGAAATTGGACAATTGTTTTGCTGACAATCTGTCGGCGCATAGTGTTGGTATATCAACGAGCATGGTGCCTTCAGTACGGCATCATCAACTGAGGAGATGCTGGTTATCGCTCTCTCATCCCCGTAGCACACGATGTGTCTCTCTCGGGCGAAGAAAGTCTACTTCGATTGAGTACAATCAGGCTGCAGCCTCATAAGGCGTTCCCTGCTATTATATCTAGTGTAGTATTATCTCAATGGGCAAATTACTAGCAGAGAGATAAACAGAGTTGTTATGCCACTCGGGAGAGTTAATAGACATTGCACTCAACACGTGAGGAGGGCCACGTCTCAATTCCATAGATTTCATGTTGGAATCGTCGCGTTTTCCAAAACAGCGAAGGATCGAAGTGCTCCACGATGTGCATCAAGAGTGACAACCTCACATTTCCGATCACATAAATTGCAATGGCATGCGGTGGTTTTTGAGTAAAACCGTCGACTCGACAGCCCCGGTCTCCTCACCGATTCGCAATTGCTCACCTGTTCAGTACTGAACAAGTACTGTTGCAGACTCTGCAGTGCAGAGTAGACCCTAGTGATATGAAAAACACTAGTGAAAAACATATTTCACGACTACTGCATATCACCCCCAATATCGCGTCTTACACCGAGTTCACGTAAAACGGGTGAAACTCCATTGATTTCGTAATCGCATATTTTACGCGTGAAAAACGATCAAGTTCACTATTTCTACACACGCAGTAACATCCACTACTTCTATTCATCAATCTGTTGAAACTAAATCCATATATTAGTAATTTCGGCCGAATTTGTTATTCATACATTATACAGGTGACCTTTACCAGGGCATGGTCGCTCATTTCGCAGCTGCTGAGTATACTGGTAAAAAAGTGCTGCTCTAGAGAAAATTACTCCTCTACATATCTTGTTATTCGAAATATTCATATAAAACATGTTAAAGTCATACCTCTGCTGAGGAGTTGCAAGACTGCAAGTGACCAACACAACTGTCTTCCGAAATAGTCATCAACACACCGGCGATTTCCCCAATATAACAACACCGAGTCAAGATCAGCCAACAGAAACACAAACATTCCATCATGAGAATGCTCAATAAGGCCGCAACTGTCTAAATTTATACGTTTTGCTACGCCATCTGGGCATTCCTCCATGTTCGCCGCCTCTACCCATACCATACCCTCGACGATATGCATCAGGCTCGCGATGATCCGCATGAGCTGAACGCACACAGACGATCAAGTACTGGAAAAATCTCTCTCACTAAAATTTCGTTTCTAGACTCTGCCGATTTTAAAATGCCACTAAAAGCCGGCAATAAAGAGCATTCTTTTTTCCCGGCATTTTCTATGGAGGCAGAGTCGCGACTTCAACACTTGGTGATTTACCTTCTCTTCAAATTCTTAAAATATTGCGATAGGAATATATAACTATATATCTGGATGTTGAATTAACATGTCAACTTGCTGCTAGTACTTCAAAAGTATAAATAAAATATTAGGTAATCGTACATGTCAATATATTATAATGTAAGATATCAAGAAGATATAAATAACATAACTATACACGTGTTTCCGGAGACCCGTCCATGGGTGCATAAATACATACAGAGATCCCATCAGGAAATTCACAAGATATATGCCTGATGACTTTCATACCGGCCTTTGCCGTTCGTCCGGTATTACTGTGCTGAATCAATGGAGTTTCACCCTAGTGATACGAAAAACACTAGTGAAAAACATATTTCACGACTACTGCATATCACCGCGAATATCGCGTTTTTCACAGAGTTTCACGCCACTTCACGTAAAACGGGTTATGTTGTGTACTAGTGTTTTTCATATCACTAGGGTGAAACTCCATTGCGAATTTTGCTCCGACTAGGTCGACACACATAGGTGGGGTTCCTCGTCTTACGTTCCTCATACGACTTCTCCTCTGCCGGTCTCCTCGTATGTGTATCTTCCAACGTCGGCGTGTCAGCGCACACATTTGCATCGACTCTCATGTGCATCCGACCCAAGCATGAAGGTCTGGCGGACTGGATATCTGCGGGGCAAAAAACTCATAATACCAAAATTCTATTCACCAATGTGGAGATATATGTTTAGTTTCCTCAACTGAGCTCGTTAGTTTTCCTCACTAAATCACGGAAATCCACACACCATTTGGGTAGATTTTCCTCACAATTTTCTGCTTAGGAAAAGCGTAGCTTCTCCGCGGTTGAAACCGTGCCAAAGAGTTGTCTTTCAATGTGGAGGTTGCTGATCTCTCGAACTCGACATGCTGGGAGAGCAAGGGAATCGGCCGTGTCAGCCGCAGATCAATAATCGATAATCGGTACATTAGCTATTGTGCGCACACGCCACGCACAACGACCACTACATTCAACGAAGCCTAGTTCGGGACAGCGATTGACACAATCCCACAAGGGGCAGCCTGAGTCCTTCAAGCTGCCAAGCTAGTCACACAAGCCAGACTGTCTTGACAACCTGGAGTAGTATATGTGTTAAGCGTGATGTATTTTTTTAACCGAGGTCTCCGATGTAGGTCCTAGGAGCACTCCAGGTAGCAAGCTCGAGTGGCCCACGACAGGAGTTTACTATCCTGAGTGTCTTTAGTGTACCTTGAGTGTCATCCTCCGCAGTGCCCAGATGGCACTCGTGAGTCGACACGCGCCCTGCCACTAGAACTCGGAGGCTACGTAGAGGTTTGAATATCTCTACCAACACATGTAGTTGACATGTGCATGTATTCCTACACTCCCATAGTGAGGGAACTTCTGAGCTCAGCTAAGTAAAGACAATATATATTCCTACTCCAACACTGTATAGGAAACTCCTGAGCTCAGGCCACTGCTTATATACACGCCACTTTGAGCGGTGGTAAAATGGAGGTATACTATACTTACCGATCCCCTGAAAACTGCCAAAAATTGATCTCATTCTTCGAATATATATGCATCATTCCATTAATACAAAAATTTATTTATCATTTTTACGTTTGTGTTTTTTCATTAATTTGTAAATGAAATTTCCGAGCCATAAAAATAGCGTCCCGAAATCCTAACAAGTCCAAATCAATCAATCGCTGCAACTTTTTGGATATAAAAGTCGTATCTCATTCGTATCTTAGGTTACAGCCCATAAGATTCAAAACAGGTCCAAAACTGACCATCTCCTTACAGTCCCTTCTCATGCTTCGGCAAGTAGTATGGCGAGAACTTCGAATGTTGCTTATACAGATGTCGCACAGCGTGGTGTTTCTTCAACTCGTGCATATATCTACACTAAAAAAATCATATTATTTTGCAGTGTGGAGGAAACTACGCACATGGTCAACTACATGTGCTGGAAAGACAATACAAAAATTACTATTGGTTTCTGTACACTTCTACCCGAAGTCGTATACAATTAGTCAGGAAACTCTTCTGAGCTCAGCTGAGGAAAGCGAACATATATTCCTACTTCAACACTGTATAGGAAACTCCTGAGCTCAGCTGAGAAAAGCGAACATATATTCCTACTCCAACACTGTATAGGAAACTCCTGAGCTCAGCTGAGGAAAGCGAACATATATTCCTACTCCAACACTGTATAGGAAACTCCTGAGCTCAGCTGAGGAAAGCGAACATATATTCCTACTCCAACACTGTATAGGAAACTCCTGAGCTCAGCTGAGGAAAGCGAACATATATTCCTACTCCAACACTGTATAGGAAACTCCTGAGCTCAGCTGAGGAAAGCGAACATATATTCCCCCAACACTGCTAAGCTTCTTTTCCTCCAGGTTCACTCATCATTCAGACTCTCACCGTGCATATGACGGATCCAATTGATTCCTCTTCCGCAGAAACACCTTCCAAGGTAATCCCAACGCCTTGTACTCTGACCCAAATCGATCACCAGGGCGAGCGAGATCTACAACATCACCTGGGTGCTTCATATACCAATACATAACCTGCCGCATCTTCTCTCCCGTGTTCGATCTCATTTCCTAACAACTAACCGTTGAGGAAATGCAAGATTTATCAAGATTGCAAGATACCAAGCAGTAATCGTATCGAGTAAAGTTTAAAAACTCAGCAACCGACCCAGTGCGGTAGTACATGCGCATGGTCAACTACATGTGTTAGTGACAATATGAAAATTCTGAGGAAAATTTTTCTTGTAAAATTTTTCCCAAGCTCAGACACTGCGAAATCCTGCGTTGAGAAAATGCAAGTGAGCCCAAGATTGCAAGATTTCCCTCACCTCTGGAGGAGATCTCATGATGTACTCATCGAAGCCTCCTTTATCTTCAATCGCGTAAAGCGCGCTGTTGGTTACCCTCAAATTGTGAATCGTCTGATTCAGGTTGTCCGAGCGGAAGTCTCTACGAGTCGTGAAGGGCTTTAACACCCTGAGTGAATAAAAACATCACATGCGGGTTGTTTTTCCCCGAGTAAAAACGTCACAACTCACTTTCTAAACATCGAGTTCCTCACTCCCATCCTATATTTCCTCTTAAAATCATCGTCGTGAAACAACGCCATTTGGGACGCTGCACTCGGTACCTTTTTTTCACGGAAAAACCGATTTTTTTCCGAAAAAAATCCTTTTTTTTCTCACCTGTCCCATCGCTTTAGGCATCACATACCGCGTCTGCACATATTTCCTCCAAGAGCGACGGTGCTGAAAAGAAAACGGAAAAATGCCAAAAATTTCACTTGGTTTTTTTCGGAAAATTTCGTCCTCGTGAACTTTTACAGGGCTTCCCATTGTGCTACAGCCAAGCCATTCGAAAACAGAGCGAAGGATCCGACAGAGAGTATTAATCAGTAGAGGAGAAAATATGCACATGGTCAACTACATGTGTTGGTAAAAATATGAAAATTCCGAGGAAATTTAGTTACTTTTTCCACATTTCGCGTGTAAATTTTCATAATGTGACATAAGAAACTCCTAAGCTCAGCTGAGGAAAGCGAACATATATTCCTACTCCAACACTGTATAGGAAACTCCTGAGCTCAGGTGAGGAAAGCGATTACATATATTCCTACTCCAACACTGTATAGGAAACTCCTGAGCTCAGGTGAGGAAAGCGATTACATATATTCCTACTCCAACACTGTATAGGAAACTCCTGAGCTCAGGTGAGGAAAGCGAACATATATTCCTACTCCAACACTGTATAGGAAACTCCTGAGCTCAGGTGAGGAAAGCGAACATATATTCCTACTCCAACACTGTATAGGAAACTCCTGAGCTCAGGTGAGGAAAGCGAACATATATTCCTACTCCAACACTGTATAGGAAACTCCTGAGCTCAGGTGAGGAAAGCGAACTTATATTCCTACTCCAACACTGTATAGGAAACTCCTGAGCTCAGGTGAGGAAAGCGAACTTATATTCCTACTCCAACACTGTATAGGAAACTCCTGAGGAAAGCGAACATATATTTCTACTCCAACACTGTATAGGAAACTCCTGAGGAAAGCGAACATATATTCCTACTCCAACACTGTATAGGAAACTCCTGAGCTCAGGTGAGGAAAGCGATTACATATATTCCTACTCCAACACTGTATAGGAAACTCCTGAGCTCAGGTGAGGAAAGCGAACATATATTCCTACTCCAACACTGTATAGGAAACTCCTGAGCTCAGGTGAGGAAAGCGAACATATATTCCTACTCCAACACTGTATAGGAAACTCTTCTGAGCTCAGCTGAGGAAAGCGAACATATATTTCTACTCCAACACTGCTCATATTAGTATTAATATCAATTCAACCAACAACACGACTTACTCCTTTAGATTCGTTCCTCAAATACCGTCCAAAAAGATGGGGAACTTTCGGCATGTGAAAACTGGATGAAAAGAAAACAATCGCCGATTCCTAGTGGAGCGAAACGAAAATTGAATCACACAATTTTAGAGGAGTTTCCGCAGGTAAAATTTACAAAAAATGCAAATTTTCGGAAAAAAATTTCGGAATTTTTCCAATCCGATGCGATAGTTTCCCCAACTCAAAACATGAAAAAATATGTACTCAACCAAAATAGTGTACAAACGATAATTACCCTCGAAACTTTGCTGAAAAATTTTACATCAAGAAATTTGAATAATATGCACTCTGCAGGATTTGAACCCGCGACCTCTCGGACCTGAACAGAGCGCTCCCCCACTCCACCACAATCACCACTCACCTTGCTATCTTGCTCTCTCTTGGATTTCCTCAACGCTCGACTCCAACAGCTGCTCGCAAGTCAACTTACCCTTCTGTGCGAGAGCCACGATGGACTTCGACGTGAGTCGGGGAACACCTCTAATTCGTCGCACTATTTTCTCAATCTGATTCAACCACACTAGTGTGGGAAAATACATCTGCTGGTAACTACAGGAAAATTCTGAGGAAATTTCCGGGAAATTCTGAGGAAAATTCGGAAAATTCTGAGGAAATTTCGGAAAATTCTGAGGAAATTTCGGAAAACTATGAGAAAATTCCGCAAAATTCTGAGGAAATTTCGGAAAATTATGAGAAAATTCCGCAAAATTCTGAGAAAATTTCGGAAAATTCTGAGGGAAATTTCGGAAAATTATGAGAAAATTTCGGAAAATTATGAGAAAATCCCGCAAAATTCTGAAGAAATTCTGCGGAATTTTCGGAAAATTTCCCAACCCCCCACCTCATGATAATATCTCAGATCCCTCTCACTCTTCCTTCCCTTCATCGATCCTTCCCAACACCGTCGAGACATCTCCATCGCCACGCGCTCGCCTACCACACAAGCGCTAAAAATCAACTATATACACGACAGAGAAAATCTCGCTCGCCCCAAATCGATCAAAATAATACATCATTGGAGTTTCACCACCCTAGTGATATGAAAAACATATTTCACGACTACTGCATATCACCGCGAATATCGCGTTTTCACCGAGTTTTACGACGCCACTTCACGTAAAACGGGTGGTAAAACTCCATTGTATATATAACTCAAATATAATTGCGAGTGTGAAACTCCATCACCCACATCATCAGCTTTCGTTCATAGGGTAGAATTTTATGCAACCAGCACGACTGTTATTTTCTGCGCATATCTCCATAGACCCCCCATATATAGACTGTATCACAACAAACGAAATTTCCAACCATTCGTGTTTTTTTCGCTGCACTCGCCAAAATTTTCCGAAAATTTTCTTTTTTTTCTCACCAAAATAATCAATACTTACAGCAAGCGAATCCTCTTCATCATTTCCCTCAATTCCTTCACATTGTCGTAACTAAAACAACTCGCATAAGATTTCGAAAATTTTCAGTGAGCTCCAAAACTGATAATTTTCACAAAAAAATCAAAAAATTCTCTAATAATTCCGCTTATCATTCCTCATCGAGAGAGGGAATTAATGTGAGGAAATATACACATGGCAGACGACATATGTTGGTAACAAAAAGGAAAAATTTGAGGAAATTTTGGGAGATTTTTTTTTATTCTCCTACATTTCAAGGTGGATTCACATATAAACTTCTACGACTCAGTTGAGGAAAGCGATCATATTTTTCTACTTTTTTTCAATAATTTCGAGCAAAATTCACTTTGAAGACTTTTAGTACCCTGTACATACTAACACGAATATATTCTCCCTTGAAAAACTACATGTGTTGGTGACAATATAAAAATCCTGATCGCGGAAATTTTTGGAAATTTTAATTGATTTCTCTACACTTCTAGTCGTATGTAAGCTCCCGAGCTCAGCTGAAGAAAGCGAACATACGAATACATGTTAGCTGAGCTCAGGAGTTTCCTCACTAATCATGCGAGTTTATATACGAATTCCAGTGAAAGTGTACAGGAATAAGAAAAAATACCCAAAATTTCCTCCCAGAATTATGCAGTTGAACATATGCATATCTTCTCTTTCAAATATTCGTATATCAACAACTCCGAGTTCTCACCAATTCCTTCCTAAATCGTTCGTAAAGATCGCGCCACCGTTTTTCGTTGGGAAGCACTTCATCATTTTCCTTTATACTCTTCAACCACTCTCCTTTACAATGCCGAGAAGCAACCTATTACCACTAACAATAATTGACAACGTAAAAGTTGCATAAACTCTGCCAAGTTCATACAACACAGACAGCAACCAGTTAGTGAAGTTTCACCCGTTTCACAGGAAGTGGCGCGATCAGTGGTAACGAATATTTCCTTTACACTTGAGTGTATTATACACTGTGTATACCAATTCATCCCTACATCCAAGCCTCGTTACACACGATACAATTTTTTCCGTAAAAGTTGCATAATTTTTCCCATCTTTTTTGTTCTCTCCATTTCAATGCTTTCACCACTATATCTAAGTCTTGTTGAACTTTCAGCCAGACTTCATGAATATTATCGTTTCATTGTGGTATATAACCATATGTATACCCTGTTGGGAATTCACCCGATAAAAAAACGATATGGTTTTCTGCACAAACTCATAAAGAAATTATACAATTTTCCGAGTAAAATTTTGCAAAAATTCGGAAATTCAGCAAAAAATTCACGGAAAAATTCATAAATGCAACTAACTAGCAAATGTAAAAGTAAAATTTGCATATTTTTCCCGAAGTAAAACTTTGCAGAAATTCAGTAATTTCAGTAAAATTACAGGAAAAATTCATGAATGCAACTAATTAGCAAATGTAAAAGTAAAATTTCGGTAAAATTTGTATAATTTTTCTGCCATTGATTTACCTCATCAAGTGATACCAACTTTTTCTCAACAATTTGAACGATGCCTCCAGCTAGTATCAAATTCTTCCCGATGCGTGATACCTCCTTAAGATACCTGCACGCATATCCAAGGTTCAAGCACAGACTCTACGGCGTAAAAGATTCATTTCAAAAATTCATATAAAAAATATTTTTTCTCTCAACTTGTGCGATCGAACGAGAAAAAAAACGCGACAAAAAATCTTCTGCCAATTTTCCGTTTTTTTTTCAAAATTCCTCAATTTTGAGGAACTCGTGAGTCAGAACTCGTGAGTCTTCTCACTACCTCATGAAAATTCACGCGCGATTTTTGGTAGAAGTATATAAAAAATTAAGTTTGCTCATTATTTTCATGTTTTTACCAACACATGTGGTTGACCTTGTGCATATATTCTTACACTGCTTTCTTGACAGTGAAATACAATATGGAGTATTTTTCACATAGTATTACGCTACTTCACGTAAAATGGGTGAAACTCCAATATATTATCCCATTTTTATCGACCTCAACAATGGAGTTTCACGACCCGTTTTGCGTGAAGTGGTGTAAAACTCGGTGAAAAACGCGATATTTGCGGCTTGTAGTAGTCGTAATTATATTTTTCACTAGTGTTTTTCATATCGCTAGGGTGAAACTACATTGTGTACCAAATTCTCAGGAAATCTTCCTCACAACACTATCAACTCACTACTACATCCTATTTCGATGATACCAAATTCAACTCTCAAAAACAAAAATTTCACGAAATTTTGCAAACGTACAGGAAAAAATATACCTATAATACTGGTGATATGAAAAACACTACTCGAAAACATATTACGTAATTATTCACTCCGCGTAGAACAATTGTATTATCGGCCGCGAAGACATACACGTCTTATAATTTACACAGAATATTACAACACTTCACGTAAAACGGGTGAGACTCCATCATATTAATATCATTGGAGTTTCACCACCCTAGTGATATGAAAAACACTAGTGAGAGACATATTTCACGACTACTGCATATCACCCCGAATATCGCGTTTTTCACCGAGTTTTACGACGCCACTTCACGTAAAACGGGTGATAAAACTCCATCATATTATTTCATTACAACTTACTTTGACCATCCACCTTCACTCGCAGCTTCTTCCTTCACGAATATCTTCGCTTCCAATCGCTCGCCAGCATCCCGGGCAAATTCACTGACAGAACTTCTGAAAAAAATTCATGACCATATCAGAAAACTTCAGAAAATTCACAGAAAAATGATAAGTATTTCCCCAACATGGAGAATATTCAAGTCTAAAATTTCAACTTTTTTAACATCGTTTAATAATGGAGTTTCACGACCCGTTTTACGTGAAGTGGCGTAAAACTCGGTAAAAAACCCGAAATTTTCCCTATGCAGTAGTCGTGAAATATGTTTTTCACATCCCGGGTGAAACTCCAGTAAACTGATTAAAATTTTCTTGAAAAATTTCAGATTCTCATATTTTACGAGTGAAAATCAACTCAAAGAATTGATTCGAAATTTCGGTATAATGGTGACGTTTCTCCCCATTCAATGGCGTTTCACCCGTTTCACGTGAAGTGGCGTAAAACTCGGTGAAGAACGCGATACTCGCGGTGATATGCAGTAGTCGCGACATGTGTTTTTCACTAGTGTTTTTCATATCACTATGGTGAAACTCCAATATTAACGACGCTCTAATATAATAGCGAAGAATGAAAAATGAAAAAAAATACCCCTCCCAAGATTCGAACCCGCCCACATCTCACCTCATTTGATCCGCTCGGACGCCCTTATCCACCGCACTAGCAAATCCTTCAACAACTTTGCGACGCTGTCGGACTCTATTAGCTGGTATGATCACATCCAACCTACACCACAATTGATCTACATATAAATCTCATCATGTTAGCGTTGAGGAAATGCAAGAGAGCAAGTGGTGCCAAGTCTAGTCACAGTAAAAATACAGTGTGAACCAAATCGTTTTCGAGATGGGGGCTTTCTTCAATTTGAGAGTAAATTTTCATATGGTCATCGATACTGCTTATTGGCGTGGAGGAAATGCAAGAGAGCAAGTTATATCAAGTCTACTGTAAATTTACGCCACTACGAACTCTTCGACTCACCTGCTAGGATATTCCCGGTCAACGACTGGTTGTGACTGAAACAACAAAAAATTAACTTTTTTCCCTATCAATTCGAAAATCGTCAATCTACATCATTCATAGTAGGAGAGCAAGTCAGCAGTGTCAACGAGTTGCGAAGCGAGCCGAGCATATACCGCAACAACAGACACTTACGCATTGTGCGTGCGTGCAGAATTATTCTGGCTTAACTACGAAGCGTGGGGGCCACCAGATAGATCAAACGACTCCTCTATATGCCGAGGTTTGCGCAAAACTCGATTATGCGAACAGCTCGACGAGATATGCACGAAAATCTTTAATAACGGAAAAATGTCCAACCCGGGGATCGAACCGGGGACCTATGTCAAATTCATAAATATCTAAGGTTCCCCCGCGCACAGCACAGATAATATGATTCACCCACTTCTCAAAATCTCAATTACCCCGCACTCACCAGAATGCTTCTAGCTTTTTTCTCCGCCGCTTCCCTAAGCTCTTCTGCCGGGTCCTTCCTACGCACGAAAAATATCTTTTCAAAAACTCCCATACCACGCGTCTACCTCTTCGTCGGTCGACCGACCTTTTGCGCGCTTTTTCCATCAGCACTAATATCTGAAAATCTTCCGCGTGCGCGCGAGAATCTTCATCAATATCAACTCGAGTAATGTGTAAAACGTTCGCGTAAACTACTCCGTACACGGAATTTCTCACCCCACATAAAACGTTGAATTATATATCCTCAAACTATTTTTACGACGAAAGCTTTCGCTGCATTCACACTCGTAAAAAAAACCAAATTTTCCGAAAAGAAATTTATGATTTTTTTCAAAAGATATTCCTCACCAAGGTGAACTTAACACAGTGCGAATCCAAAATTGACCCAATTTTTGGTAATAAAATATGCGCAGAAATTTACGTAAAATAATACAAAAAGATCCCAAAAAATATGATAATGTGAATTTTTCAAAATACAATATCTTCCGGAAATTTTTCGGATTGAGAAGCCCCAGTTCACAAACGCGACGAAAAAATTTTGCACGCATGCACACCCACCCATTTCAACATCTTTCCCTTTACCCTCAGCAACGGCAACCTAGAAATGAAACAATACCAAAAATTATTCTCAACAAACACATACAAAAAGTTCGGCGAAAAATTACCGCGCGCCACAAAATTCTCACTTCAGGAACTATCTCGACCGACGCGACAGCCTCTCGAACTGCTTGCCGGATCCCTCCCGATCTCGCACTTCCCTCGTGTAGCTGAGGTGACGGTTTTCCCTGAGAAAAAACGTTCATGAAATGACAAGTGAATCAAAGCATCATGCAGCAAAGATACAAAATAGGTCCAATTGTAGGCCGTTTTTTATCACATATGCATCTACTCTTAATGAATCTTAGCTCAAATCAAAAGATACAAAATAGGCCCAATCGTAGGCCGTTTCTTATCACATATGCATCTACTCTCAATGAATCTTAGCCCAAATCACAAGATACAAAATAGGTCCAAAACGCGGCACCTTAATTCGCTCTGGTGACACCGGCGTCGGTGGTGGCTCCAACGGCCCTTCCCCTTCCTCAACAAGTCTCCTCTCCTTATACTAAACGCATCCACATAATAATCATTATCAAAAACTCATACCATCCATCACTTACATAACGACCATATGCTGATCTGTCCTGCAACTGCCTTGATTGAATAATCTTCGCCAACTAAAAAGAAAACAAATTTCAACACCAATAAAATGCCCCTGCTGAGGTTCGAACCGGGGACCTCCTTACTTCAGCTTCACCTAACTTAGATCCTCTTTGATGACGAGAGCTCCTCCTAACTCGCGACTCAATACTGTCCTCAGGAAGGCTCTTAGCCGAAAATCTTTCTGAAATTTTGCAGAAAAAAAACACAATTTTCCGCAAAAAAATATCGCAAAATTACTGCGTGTCATCGCCGGACTCGCTGGTGATTCCCCTGAAGTTCGCGAAACCCCGACGCTCACCGACGGGGACGGTGGATTCTAAACTCTAATAATCGATCAATCGGGCGCGCGCTTTTTACCTTGGGCGAGCTGAGCGGTGAAGACACCGATTCAGTTCGACTCCTTTTACTCATCGAAGACGCCGTCCGTCCCCGTCCCCGGGTAGATCGACGACCTACAGGAAGGACGCAGGAGGGTATCTTAGGCTCGAGCGGGTAAGATACAGATTAGGTCCATGTTACGAGTGCTTAACGCAACTTGTTCCGAAAATAAAATTCTATTATGATGAGAACGTTCTCGGAGTTTTTCGCGAAATATTGCGAATGTTTTACGTAAAATGTTGTGATTTTTGCAATGTTTTTCGGCAAGTGTTTTTTTCACTTCACTGCATATCACCGCGAATATCGCGTTTTTCTCATTGAGTTTTACGAAAAACACTTCACGAAAAACAGGTGAAACTCCATTGAGTATTACGGGTAAATACAGCGCTATTTAAATTTACAAAAAAAATCAAAAAATTCAAATGAATTGAACCGAAATATTTTTAGAAATTCCAACAAAAATTTTCTGAAATTTTTTTCCTTCATTCCAACCCACAGCGAACCTTTATAAATGTTGTTTTTCCTTTTTGCCGGTTTCATTCGATTTTCCTCCTCCGACGCGCTCAGCGGGACTTCACGTTTCGACAGCCAATGACGATACACACTCGGCTCTATCTAAAACATAAAAATAAAAAATAGGAAAAATAGGAAAAAAATTTTGGAAAATTCATGTCCTTAAATGGTAACATCTCACAGATGTGCAAAACGTCTTCTATTGAGAAAAATCTATTCTCATATAAAAATGAAGTAATCATTTTTCCCGAGTAATTTTTTAGTGGTCCAGGAAATTCTCTCCTATTCTTGCGCATTCAATCATGGGTGAATAATTCCGGAAACGGAATTTTTCACCCAGGCAATTCCGACTAATAATCATATGATGAATATCACACTCACCTCTTTCAGTTTTTCCTTCAACTCAAGGTAAATCGACGCTCGAGCGCCCTCCCTCGTTTCATACAGAAAGTTTTCTGAAACAAAGTACAATAGCGCGCGCCCAGATGATCGATTATTCATCGAGTTCATACCAGTTCACCGAAGCTCTTCCGTAATCATCAAAGGAAAACGTGAAGAAAATTCGATAAGAATTTTTAGATCTATTTTTATATTTTCTGTCAAACCCACGAGACAATCAACTTCACCTGAATTTTTCCGGAAAAAATGCACATCTGATTTTTATTCAATCTCACCTTACAATAAACAACCGTTTTCTCCCCTCAATGATGAAAATTCGATAAAAAAGTTTCTTTTTTTCTGCCAAACCCGCAAAAAAATCTATTTTTCCATAGCTGATTTTTTTCCGGAAAAAAATCACATATTTCCCAATCTCACCTTTCAGCAAACAGCCATTTTCTCCCCTCATTTCAGGTCGTTTTTTTACTATCATCTCATACAGTTTTCGATCGGCCAAACGGCAGCAAATCGTCTGACTCTTTACCTTCTTTTGTCGACTCACACTCGTCGTCTCTTCAACGGATATCACTTCCGCTGTTGCCCTGACGATTTCACGAAGAGCTTACACATAATCGTCGGTGTAAGTGGGCGATTTATTCCGCAATGAACAAACGTTTAAAGCAATAGTAAACGACTCAATTTTTCATCTCCTGAGTACTTCTGAAAGCTCATCTCGATTTATTCTGCATCGTGTTGTGTTCTCAATTTAGTTCCCATATAATCGTCGGCATTCGTGGGTAATTTATTCCGAAATAAACGACCGATTATATGGAGTTCGACCCTACCATCTGTCCATCGTCCTGTGTTTGCTCAGACCCAGATCGGCCGCGGTGAGGCTCAGGAAATCACCCACTTTGATCGGCATTCGCTCATCATCGTCGAACTTCTCTGAGAGAAAAAAACTCGACTGACGATGTTGCGCACGAGAAAATTGGTCCCAATCTCGGAATTTTTCGCCCAATCCATTCGTGAGAAAAAATTCCCCCATAAATCACGGGCTATTCTCAGAACACTTGACTGGAATGCCTACTTCCTGATTGATCGATATTTCAACCGTTTTAGCACGGGGAAAAACGTCCCATTACAGGCTCCTATCGCCGACCAACCATTTCTCATCCTCTACTTACGCGACCAATAACAATACACAAACTCCACCATATCTCTTGTCCAATCCTTTGCTGGGTCCACCGTATTAAGGAAACTCACTACGGTCGGCGCCCAAGGCAGCGTAACACAACCAACGTCCTCTTCTGAGATCTCTCCCGGACTAGCCTGATTCGACCAATCAATTCTAGTCGAAAATCAATGTAAGAAAATATGCACTATATGGTCAACTACGTGTATTAGTGGCAATATGGAATAATTGTTCGTTTTTGTACACTTCTACCCAGTGTTTAAATCGCGAAGCGAGCAGGGCACATACCGCAACAACAGACACTTTCACATTGTGCGTGCGTGCAGAATTATTCTGGCTTAACTACGAAGCGTAGGAGGCCACCAGATAGATCAAACGACTCCTCTATATGCCGAGGTTTGCGCAAAAGTCGATTATGCGAACAGCTCGACGAGATATGCACGAAAAACTTTAATGACGTAAAAATGTCCAACCCGGGGATCGAACCGGGGACCTATGTCAAATTCATTGATTGAATCAATAGACGTGGACTAAGTGAGCTCCGCCCCTTCGTCACGAAGGCCTAGTTGGTATATAATGTAGTGCTGAAACTCCTGAGCTCAGCTGAGGAAACTACACATACATTTGAAAACTAATCGAAATTCACATACGAAAATAACAGAGCCAATACAGACGCCTGCTCTTGAGAATTCCCTCGGAAAATTCTGGAAAATAACGCCGACACACAGACAAAAACTGATTCACATTGATTATGTTATTCACTATCAGTTGGAGTGTTGGAATATATGTTCGCTTTCCTCAGCCAATTTTCAAAAACTCATTTCATTTTTTCCATCAAATTTCCAACTTTTACGTAAAAAATTCTATATTTTTTCATATGTAAATTCTCTGTTTTTTCTGGTACAGAAGTCTCCCTGAATTTTTCACATTTTCACCAACACATTTAGTTGACCGTATAGTACCAAGACTAAGAGCGCTCAGCCAGACCTCTCTCCCACTCCTATTACTTCCTCCGGAATATCCGCTGCATATTCCTCGACACTATGAGAGGCTCTCGTTGCCGTCGACATCCCCTCCAGAATATACTATTTATCCACACCAATTGAAACTCACTCAACTCAAAAGAAGCTGTAAAAGTTGCATAAAATCATGTGATATACACTACCATAGGCTACGCACTAACATAATAATACTACAACATGGGGAGGGGGGGAGGCATGTGCGCGCACAGCGAAGATTCCGATCGTAAAAGATACCACCGGAGAAAAAAAATCTTTACCAGACCCACCACCGTATGAAAACATCCTATTACGACACACAAAGCTGAATCAAATACGGGCAGCTAATTTCGTGGCGCGTGACAGAAATCAAGCGATATAATAATAATAATGGATAGAAATAGACCAAAACATCCTACACTTAGACAATCTTGCAATCTTGCTATATCTTGCAATTCCCTAACGCTACATACACATCACCATTCCTTCGTGCAGCTCTATATAGTGTTATACTAAAACGCCGGTAAAAATGTGGCGTTCAACCACCAAAAGAACCTAATCGATCAATCGGGCGAGCGAGATTTACACCATACACTTACAAATCTGATGATCTCTTCCCCTGATAGACTCTGGTCGAAGGCGGTCAGTGACCTACAAAGGGGATGCAAACCAAAGGGCGTCTTTCGTGTCACCTCTGGAATGGGGATTTTCTCAGCGGCAACCTCAGGGCTTGGCCGTGGACAAATCGTGCCACCCTTCACCCGTCTATTTGGTCTAGCGGGCGAGGGGTAAACCATAAACCGCTGATCGAAAGATTCCTGGTTCGAATCCCACACATGTCATTTTATCAATCACCCTAGAAGGCTGAGGAATCTGCATTTTCACCCTCGACCGACTCTGTCCTCGCCTACAGACCTTCCTACCACTACTACTGCTGCCACAAACAGCAGCAGCAGCAGACCCATCCCACGCCGGTGGGGATGAACCTAAGACGACTGTTAGATTCCCGCAGCCTGAAAATCATATATAGTTTCCAAAGAAAACTCATTTTGAATTTCCCACATGGCTAGGAACATTTCACATTAGGAACATTTCCCCCATTTTTATCAAACCCTGCGTGCCGCACCCGTCACTTTTCTCACCCAACCCCGGAGCCATCGGCCTCACGAGCTTCCTCCCCAACGTAGGAGTAGACAATCGACTCGAACATCTACTCCCTAGGCTCGAGCTCCCAAAAGGTGATGTTCCCATTGCAGTACGAGGAGGCGATTTCGATTCGCTCACTGAAATACAGGAGCCTTTGAGAAAACGCAATACGGAGTCGCGACTCACCCATTCGATCAGCTCTCGGAATAACACATCGCTTCACTCGACTCGCATTTGGCCGAATGGGAGACTTGGATACCTTCCAACCGAACAACCCAAGTTCTATCCCCAGCAACGCCATTTTACACCCCACATGGCTGTCATCGTTCTCAGCAGAGGACTCCTTCGGCGAGCTGCAACTACCACCATCCGAACCCCGTCCGAACAGCATTCCCATGTCCTCATACTCTTCCATGCACAGTTCCAGCGTGTCTTCTGCGAATAGCGCTCGCCCGGTTAATCGATTATCGATCTGCAGCCCCACTCACCTCTCATGCTTGGATCAAGCGTATCCTTCCGCGTGCGCCGACCCTCACTGGTGTCCACCTCCGTCACTTCCCCCGTGACAATTGGGGATGACTTCAACCTTCGCGGCAGAGAATCTACAAATCGATCACCAGGGCGCGCGCTAAATGCCATCTCCCACCTCCACCCATCAGAGGATTATCCTTCTCAGACTTCCTCAACGCCAGCTGTCCCCGCGCCTCGCGAATCAGCGCAGCAGCAGTATCGGCCGACAGCCTATAAAACGCCACTACGAGTTCACAAAGGAGCGGTATGAGCTACCTCAATTTATTTTGTTGTGAAGTCGGCGGAGGAGGCGTATCAGCGCTGTCCATCGACAACTGCGAGTAATCCCCTTCGTGCAGAGTTGTCAGGCAACCTTATAAAAATACACAAGCTGTGCTTAGTATAGAGCAGTGTTGGGGTAGGAATATATGTTTGCTTTCCTCAACTGCTCATATTATGTCAACGAATAGACTGATATCATAAACCCTAACGTTGAACTAGAGATCACTAGCACCAGTTAATTCCACTGTGACATTCCAAATTGGAAAAATTTCGGTAATTTTCCCCTTTTACGCCATTTTTCCACAAATTCTGCATCCATTTTCCTCTTCCTAATGCATCGCAATCACATACCTTGATAGTATATATACACTACTATATGTATATGTACAACATCTACACTTGTAGTATATATACACTACTATATGTATATGTACAACATCTACACTTGTAGTATATGTACACTACTATATGTATATGTACAACATCTACACTTGTAGTATATGTACACTACTATATGTATATGTACAACATCTACACTTGTAGTATATGTACACTACTATATGTATATGTACAACATCTACACTTGTAGTATATGTACACTACTATATGTATATGTACAACATCTACACTTGTAGTATATGTACACTACTATATGTATATGTACAACATCTACACTTGTAGTATATGTACACTACTATATGTATATGTACAACATCTACACTTGTAGTATATGTACACTACTATATGTATATGTACAACATCTACACTTGTAGTATATGTACACTACTATATGTATATGTACAACATCTACACTTGTAGTATATGTACACTACTATATGTATATGTACAACATCTACACTTGTAGTATATGTACACTACTATATGTATATGTACAACA